GGGTTTAGGGTGTAGGGTGTAGGGTTTAGGGTTTAGGGTTCAGGGTCAAGCCGGGCGCCTTCGCATCAAGCCCTCGGGCCTAAACGTTTCGCGCCAAGTATGGGGGTTTACGAAAATAGGGGACCCCTCCTACATACTAGGATTCCCTCATGACAACCCTAAACCCTAAACCATAAACCCCAATAAGGTACCCCGAATTTCGGAAAACCCCCCATATCCTTGAGCGATGGCCTCGGAAATGGAAATAAGATCTCTCTCCTAGGCATGGCATACACCCAATAGTGCGAACACATGTAGCCTGATAGTTTACAGACCGTACTCTAAACCCTAAACCCTAAACCCCAAACCCCCAACTATAAGTCTGCTTAGTATAACCTTCTTGGAGGACTTCCGGGGCTTATTAAGTACAGTTAGTTGGCATGCTCCCCCTCATACTAGCAGTCCTGCATAGGGCTTGTAGTCCTTATACTAGACCCGGCTGGGAATGAAAAGGGTACCCTTTTTGGTTTTAAGGGGATTATAAGGGAAGCCCAACCCTAAAAAAAGGTGAAAAAAAGTGCCGACTCCCGGTCCTAGTTATTATAGTACCCCCTACTATAATCCAAATCAAACACTGTTAGTAAAAGGGGGAACAGCCCAAACGTTTACAATTCAGGTTGCAAGTACCCTGGACCTCCAAGTAATCTGGAACGAGGGGCATGGTTGCTCGGGAAGCCGTACCTGGGCGGCACAATTGGGTCAGACAAGAGCCTTCGTGTTTAGGGTTTGGGGTTTGGGGTTTGAGGTTTGGGGTTTGGGGTTTGGGGTTTGGGGTTTGGGGTTTGGGGTTTGGGGTTTGGGGTTTGGGGTTTGGGGTTTGGGGTTTGGGGTTTGGGGTTTGGGGTTTGGGGTTTGGGGTTTGGGGTTTGGGGTTTGGGGTTTGGGGTTTGGGGTTTGGGGTTTGGGGTTGGGGTTTGGGGTTTGGGGTTTGGGGTTTGGGGTTTGGGGTTTGGGGTTTGGGGTTTGGGGTTTGGGGTTTGGGGTTTGGGGTTTGGGGTTTGGGGTTTGGGGTTTGGGCCGCCTGGTGGACGCTAAAGCACGCTAGCTCAAGATCCTCTTGTCAAGTAACTTTGCTCGAGTAACGTGGAAGACCCCTTGGGCAGCATACGCAAAACCCTAAACCCTAAACCCTAAACCCTAAACCCTAAACCCTAAACCCTAAACCCTAAACCCTAAACCCTAAACCCTGAACCCTCAAGTGGGAAGGTTAGTGCCCTGCCAGGGCACACGGCGCTGTCTCCCGCAGCGCCGCCACCCCACCTCTGATCTGTAGAGGGTTGGCTGTCAAAATTATGATCCCTTTTGGGGTGCCCTACATATTAGGTGCCGTATGAAAATAGGGATCCAAAAAGGGACCATAATTTGACAACCACCCATAGGGTTTGGGGGGGTTCGGGGTTTGGGGACTTCGGGGGCTTCAGGGTCTCAGGGATTTCAGTGAGCTTCAGGGCTTTGGGGTTGGGGTTGGGGGGGGGGGGTGGGAGGGAGGGGGACGTTTTTGCTTGTTGTTTTGGTGGACCCGCTCCAGGCTTTTCTTAAAACACGAGACCCCTGGCGTCACCCCAACCCCAAACTCCTTCAACTAAACCCTAAACCCTAAACCCTAAACCCTATACCCTAAACCCTAAACCCTAAACTCCCTCTGAACCCGTCAACTCCTTAAACTCCCGAGGCCAGCCCTTGTTCGGCCGCCCCACTTGTAGGGCATCTCGGAGAAGTCCCCCAATAACGACACTTCGCCTTCTGGGGGCGCTCTTCTTTGATTGCGGATTTGGGGGGATGTTAGGGGTCTGAGGGTTTTGGGGGTTTAGGGTTTAGGGTTTAGGGTTTAGGGTTTAGGGTTTAGGGTTTTGGGGTTTAGGGTTTAGGGTTTAGGGTTGTTTTAGGGTTGAGGATGTTCATGGTTGGAATGAGTACGGTTGCATGCTAGCGTCGGTGGCATTGTGGGTGCCGGTGCAGTCTGGCAGCAAGGTCATAGGCGACCAACCCCCCCGCCCTCGTAGGAATAGAACTTATAAACTACATAGGAGTTCTGCTGATGGGTCTAGGTCTATTTCTTCTTAAGTACCGTCTGTACTTGAGGTTACCCCCCTGAACCCGTACACCCCTACTCTGCCAGCCCGAGGTCCTCATCTTCACCCCCACACTTCAGGTCCGGCGCCTGTCTTCGGGACGATTTTCAGCACCTCGATCAAACACAGAAGCGACCGGGCTCCGGATTTAGGGTTTAGGGTTTAGGGTTTAGGGTTTAGGGTTTAGGGTTTAGGGTCTAGGGTCTAGGGTCTAGGAACTGGCTGTGCTTTCACAAAGGTGCTCGACTGTCACCACGCCTGAGAGACGAGCTCAAGCCAACTCAACACACAAGGAGTGTCGTCCCTTTCCAGGCGGACAATGATTGGTAGAGTGCAGACTGCCAGGGCTGAAAAAGGCACTTTGTCCCTGATGTTTGGGTGCTCTTGGCACCCCTGTACAAAGATACAAGTTTGTGGCTCTTTGGCGTCCTGTGTAAAGATGTCAAAGGACACGCCTTTTGCGAGCTTCTCTCGAATTGCGGCCCTGGCACGCTGCGGGCATGAGAGGGGATGCCGTACACAGCGCCGTCGGGGCCCACGACGCCACCTGACCCCATGCACCCCGGGCCCCCACGAATGGTTTATGTAGCTTCCTTCCCCAACCCAAACCCGAAGAGCCCTGCCCTTTCTCCCCGATGTTTTCTTGCTTGTTGTTGTTGGGGGGTTGGCATTGGGGTTTGGGGTTCTCTGCTGCCAGCCAGAGCCGCCGTGCCACTTCCAGTTGCCCTTGGGGAGGGAACCCAGTGTTGAGACCTCGCCGGTCTCCGGGACGATCCTCGAACTTTCGAAAGCGGGAAGGGTACCGGGCTTCAAGGATTCCGGAGGGCCAAGCCGGGATTAGGGCTGGAAGGGCCCTTCCTGTGCAGACAGAGCTCTTCTTGTCCTGCCGGCCCTACTCCCCAAAGCTCGCGCCTTTTTGGTGTACCCTAAAAATCAATACCCACATCATATACTCTACCCAGGCACGGACCCTAGCTAAGGGAACCTCAATGGAGGGATGCCGAGGATCGGACCAGGGGGCCGCCGAGCGGTTCAGAGCGCGGGATCCACAGGAAGAGGAGGATTTCAGGGTTCAGGATGTTCAGGGTTTCCCTGTTAAGGTACGTGTCAGTTATCAAAAATTATTAGAATGTTGGGTTTCAAGTGGGTTTGGGGGCATCTGAGGTTGAAGGTTTGGGGGGATGGCGTAAAGCCCCTAAGCCCTCAACTTGATGGGCTTGAACTTTCGGCTCCAGAGTCCTCAGCCTCAACCCCTAAACCCTAAACCCTAAACCCTAAACCCTAAACCCTAAACCCTAAACCCTAACTCCTCTGAACTGCGCCAGGTGTCTTCAATACCTGCCGCGCATTGTACGGTATGCCATAGATGCAGCCATCGTTGCCTGGCAGCCCACCTGAGGCGCGCGATAGCCACGGAAGTGATGGCGGATCGGGGGGGGGGCTCTAGCTTACCCTAAACCCTAAACCCTAAACCCTAAACCCTAAACCCTAAACCCTAAACCCTAAACCCTAAAGACGAAACCCTAAACCCTAAACCCGAAACCCTAAACCCTAAACCCCCCCTAAACCAACCTGCTTTTTGTAGATCGGCCCCAAGAGTCCAGGTGTAAGAGAGGTTCTGCGAACAACCTACGACATTTACGTAGGGTTTAGGGTTTAGGGGTTTAGGGTTTAGGGTTTAGGGTTTAGGGTTTAGGGTTTAGGGTTTAGGGTTTAGGGTTTAGGGTTTAGGGTTTAGGGTTTAGGGTTTAGGGTTTAGGGTTTGGCTTCCTAAGCTTTGGGTATCGGGTCGATGGCTCTAGGTTTTCCTGTGGCTCTGGACTCACTCTTGGCACTGCCCTAACAAACCCCTAAACCCTAAACCCTAAACCCTAAACCCTAAACTCTAAGCCCCATAAGCCCGATAAGCCCTCTGAACCCTAAGCCCCGTAAACCCCAAACCCCCAAACCCTACACCCTAAGCCCTAAACTGCAAAGGCCACCCTTTTTGCAGGCTGGAAACCGTACCACTTGTTGGGGCCCTCGGGAAGGTCTCCCAGAATCGTCACCTCGGGCTTAAGGGCATGGTTTAGGGTTGAGGGTTTAGGGTTTGGGGTTTAGGGTTTAGGGCTTCGGGTTTAGGGTTTAGGGTTTAGGGTTGAGGGTATTTAGGGTATTGAGGGTATTTAGGGTTTTGGGTTTAGAGTTTAGGGCTTAGGGTTGAGGGTTTCTGGGTTTGAGGCATAAGGCCTTGGGGTCTAATATCCAAAAGGAAACACTGTTTCTCATGACAAGGCAACCGAACACCACCGACACAACAGGGAAAAAGAGCGCCGCCGGGGGGGTTCCAAGGCTTGCAGCTTTGCTGTTCTAGGGTTGAGGGTTGAGGGTTTGGGGGCTGCTTTGGGTTTGTTGGGTTTGCCTGCAGACCTTAGTAGGTTACAACATTAGTTTCAGTGAGCCTCAAACCCCTGAATCCAACCGTAAGTCAACAACACCGGGTTGTCGGTGACGAGGTGGAGATTGAGGCTCCATCCTAAACCCTCAAACCCTCAAGCCCCTCAAAACCCTCAAAACCCTAACAACCCCAAAAACCCTAAAATCCAAAAGTCCCAAAACCCTAAAAACCTCCAAAGACCCGAAAACCCTGAAACCCTTTACAAAGGGAATAAAACAGAAAATCTGAAAACATAAAAAACAAAAAATATATAAATAAAACATGTAAATAAAAAAACCGAGAAATGAAAAAAGAAAAAAAAAAAAAAACCTGCCTCGCCGGTCTCCGGGATGATCTTCAGCACCCCTCGAGCCTGAATGACAGCAGAGCCCCGTCTGCCAAAAACTCCGAAAACCCCTTGGAAGAATAAAAAAAAACCTCCCAAACCTCAAACCTTAAGCCCCTGAACCTCCCAAAACCCCCCTGACCCCCGACTTTAATGGGTCTTCGGGTGCGGGACCCTGAACCCTAAACCCTAAACCCTAGACCCTGAACCCTAAACCCTAAACCCTAAAGCCTACACCCTGCCCCCACTGTGGCCCCGTGCATTGCAAGGGATGCCATAGATCGCGCCATCCGTGCCTAACACACCACCGTGCCACCTCGGCTGGAGGGTTTAGGGTTTAGGGTTTAGGGTTTAGGGTCTAGGGTCTAGGGTCTAGGGTTTAGGGTTTAGGGTTTAGGGTTTAGGGTTTAGGTAGGGTTTAGGGTGTAGGGTTTAGGGGTTAGGGTTTAGGGTTTAGGGTTTCGGGTTTCGGGTTTCGGGTTTAGGGTTTAGGGTTTAGGGTTTTGGGTTTTGGGTTTTGGGTTTAGGGTTTAGGGTTTAGGGTTTAGGGTTCAGGGTTCAGGGTTTAGGGTTTAGGGTTTAGGGTTTGGGTCCCAATAAGTTTTGAGCGAAACGTTTCGAGCGAAAGTTTTGAGTGAAAGTTTTGAGCGAAACGTTTAATTTTAGATATCCGCCGAGGCCTCGGGCCGCAGAACAGGCACCCCCCTCCAAATCCTCCCCCCAACCCTTTTTTTGGCCTCAAATGGGTAATTTTTCTGGGAAACGGGGTCCGCAAGCGGACGGTTCGCCAGGACCAGAGGCAGTTGAAGCCCCTCCCAGCAGGGCCCCCCGCCTGTTCCCTACCTTCCCCCCCCCCACCAACCCCCCCCCCCCTTTCCCCCCCCCTTTTTGCCCCGCCTCCCCCCACCTCCCCTGCCCCCCACCCCCTCCCCCTCCCCCCACACCTCCCCCCTCCCCCCCACCCTGCCGAAGAGTCGCCTTAAACAAGGGGCCTGGCTCAACCCTACGATCACTCCAAGCCGAACCCTACCCCAAAGCGTGAACCTTGAGCCCTAAACTAACCCTCAACCCCAAACCCCAAACCATAAACCATAAACCCGGAACCCTCAACCCTCAACCCTCAACCCAACCCTTATTGCTTGGGGTCCAGCGACTTGGGCGCTGCGGAATCACCATGCTCACGCGGATGCGCTGGGTTGGGTTGAGGCGGGTCGCGTAGCGTTAAAATTAGGTTTTTAAGGGTCGGCGTGCGGGGGGGGACAAAGGGGGGTGGGTGGTTCGGGGGCCCCGATTTCGTAATTTAGTATTCCGAGGCCCGGCTTCGTGGTTTGGTGTTCGGGGGGGAGGGGCTCGGCTTCGAAATTTAGCATTCGGTAATTTAGCGTTCGGGGGAAGCCCGGCTTTGTAATTTGGTATTCGGGGGAGGCCCGGCTTCGTAACTTAGTATTCGGGGGAGGCCCGGCTTCGTAATTCAGTATTCGGGAGAAGCCCGGCTTCGTAATTTAGTATCCCCGGCTTCGTAATTTAGTATTCGGGGAAGGCCCGGCTTCGTAATTTAGTATTCGGGGGAAGCCCGGCTTCGTAATTCAGTATTCGGGGGAAGCCCGGCTTCGTAATTCAGTATTCGGGGAGGACTCGGCTTTGTACTTCAGTATTCGGGGGAGGCCCGGCTTCGTAATTTTGTATTCGGGGGAGGCCCTGTTTGTTAGGTTTTTTAGTGGATCTCACGAGTATAAAGGCTTGGGAAGGTCCCATAGGTTTAAGGAAAATGACCATTTAGCTTCCCAGGTGTTTTGGGTTAATTTACTTAAACTCGGCGCGTCAGCAGTTTAGACAAATAGCTTGAGAAATTCCGAATGATATCACATACAATTTCTATTTATTTTGTCTTGAGGGTTTAGGGTTTAGGGTTTAGGGTTTAGGGTTTAGGGTTTAGGGTTTAGGGTTTAGGGTCTAGGGTCTAGGGTCTAGGGTTTAGGGTTTAGGGTTTAGGGTTTAGGGTTCGTCGACCTGGGAGGTGCCAGCTGTCCTGATGTCGATGCACAGGGATCTGCAAGGGGTTTTGGGATCAACATGCGCCTCCCTCCAGCAGGTGGAGCGGAACGGTCATGCAGCCTCAAACTCTGAACCCTAAACCCTAAACCCTAAACCCTAAACCCTATAAACCCTAAACCCTAAACCCTATAAACCCTAAACCCTAGACTCTAAACTCAAGGCTTAGGCCGCCCCCCTACAGTTGGGGGGCGGCGCCTAAGCCCCTCGACCTCGATGGCGCTAAGCCGACCTGTTCGTGTGGCTTCCCTGGCCCCCTTGACCGGTGCCATCCAGCCTGACTGGGTGCCGAGCCCGCCCCTCTGAAACTTGCTGCAACCCTCCCTGAAACTGCCTAAGTTTTAGAAGTTGTCTGAGTTTAGGCCTTAACCCTAAAAGGAATAGGTTTGGGTGGCTTTGCCGCCGTGGAGGGCGTGGGAGAAGTGTTAGATGGCCCTCCACAATCGGGCCAATGCTGCTTTTCGCACCTCACGAAGCTTTCGAGCTTGTTCCGAAACCTAACCTTCACAGCATCTACGCCCTATCACAGCAAACCCTAAACCCTAAACCCTAAACCCTAGATTCGGGTTTAGGGGTTGGGGGGTGTTCGGCCGCTTGAGTAGGGGGTTGGTCCTTCAGATGGCCGCCAATGGCCGCTGGTGCAGCGTTCCAGGGCGTAGGGTGCAGGGGATTAGGGTTTAGAGTCTAGGGTTTAGGGTTTATAGGGTTTAGGGTTTAGGGTTCAGGGTTCAGGGTTTAGGGTTCAGGGTTTAGGGTTTAGGGTTAGAATTGGGTGTGAGGTTGTTATCGCATATGTATATAGGGACCACAAGGCAAGGGAATACTCTGAACAACTCTTCCGACCCCTAGATTCGCCCATTTTCCAAAACTGGGCCAGGCCGCTTCCACCTGCCTGCTGGCACTCTGCCGAGCTGCAGGACTTCCCCTGCTGGGCAGGTTGGTGAATTCAGCTAACCGAATACTTCATACTTAGAATAGGGTTTAGGGTTTAGGGTTTAGGGTTAAGGGTTAAGGGTTTAGGGTTTAGGGTTTAGGGCTTAGGGGCCTTGATAATTAGAGTAGGGTTTTGGGGGCTACTATGATATAACTACAAAGGGAATACTCCTTGTAATCCTTCCGACCCCTATAGTAACCAAATGAATCAGCACACCTGCAATGTAATGAAAGGTAGAGACGTGCGAATACCTACCTATGTGGTCCATACATGAACATCATGTAAGATTCAACAGAAAAACTTTTGAGAATAGCCATATACGCGTACCTGCCAATTTTCAATTACTTACCAACAATCAAGGACCGCCCAATTGATCCACTTTGTCTGAAGATGTACAGAGAGGGCCCTTCTGATTCCGAAGTAAACTTTCCTGTCATCTGTTACCCTAAACCCTAAACGCTAAACCCTAAACCCTAAACCCTAAACCCTAAACCCTAAACCCTAAAGGATGCAACGGAAGGGATGCTGTGTTTGAGACGAAGCTAGCTCTCAGTAGGGAATAAGGAGTTTGCTACCGCATATCCCCGTAGGAAAGCCTTCTAAGAGCTCCTCCTAACCTAGGGTTTTAGGGTTTGGGTTTAGGGTTTAGGGTTTAGGGTTTAACGTTGAGGGTGTAGCTGGCACCTTCTAGGCAAAAGTTCAGAAACACCCTTAAAAAACAACCCTTGAACCCTTCAGGTGTTTGGGGCTCTGGCCTTCTGTGAGCCTCCTGTGCCTTGTGCACCACTAGCCCTTGTGAACACTGCAGAGCCCTGCATTCTTCAAAAGGTGCGAGGGGTGCAGGATGTAAGGTTTAGGTTTAGGGTTTAATTAGGGTTTAGGGCTTAGGGTTTAGGGTTCTGGGTTGGGATGTCCCCCTTATACTAGCAGCCCTTAATAGGGATGATAGTACCCCCTACTAATAATCCCTACTAAGGACTGCCAGATATAAGGAGGAACATGCCCCCAAGCTTAGGGCTTCAGACTGCACTTCCAGGCATTCCGGGCCTGTGCTCGGCACGATCTTCAGCACCGTGTCGGCGTGGGAGGGTATGCCGTAGATGCCTCACAGCAATCCACCCTAAACCCTAAACCCTAAACCCTAGACCCTAAACCCTAAACCCTAAACCCTAAAATCCGATGGAGGGTTGAACTCGGTGGGCTTACGGCTGCGGGCTGATGGCTTCTAGGGCTTAGGCAGGAAACTTCAGGTCTCCGGTCTCGGGTTCTTCATGCAGGGGCGGTTAGGCCACGGCCCCAACCTTTCAGGGTTTAGGGTTTAGGGTTTAGGGCTTGGGTTTAGGGTTTAGTTTAGGGTAACCCTGACAGCTGGGCACCAGGCGACAATCTAGAGCCTGAATATCGCCACGCTTATCTCTACACATCAGTGGGGCCTTGATGTCGCCACAGCATAAAATGCGCTTCCAAGCCGGGCCCAAGCCTTCTCACACCATCCCAAATCCCCTCACTGCACAAAACGACTTTGAACTACAAGGGTTTGTACTGTGAACTCGGACACGCACGCAGAACATGAGCACGATCAGAAAGTGGGTAAAACCCTAAACCCTAAACCCTAAACCCTAAACCCTAAACCCTAAACCCTGAACCCTGAACCCTAAACCCTAAGCCCTAAACCCTGAACCCTAACCCTAAACGCTAAACCCCAAACACCCTGAACCCTAAGCCCAATCCCAGCCGCAGCCGTCGCCGGCCAGCACGCCCCGCAACCACTTGAACTTGCCATCCAGCCTGAAGATGTGAGGGATTTCAGGGGGACATCCTTGTACTGTAACAACAAAATTGTACTACTAGATCAGTAACTATTATAGTTTATGACATTAAAGCCTGTAACACAAATTGTACTACTATATCAGTAATATAATATAGCTTATGACATTAAAGCCCAGACCCCAAACCGAAAGCCACCCAAAACCGCTTTGGAAACAGGGCCCTTCTGCTTTCGGAGTGTCAGGGAGCTCGACGCCCAAGATGCTATCTCAAGCGGTTCCGTGTCTCTCGGCATGCCAGCCCCTTTGATCCACAGAACTCAGGGCCTTGTTGGAGTTCCCTAAATCCTGTAGTAACCCTAAACCCTAAACCCTAAACCCTAAACCCTAAACCCTAAACCCTAAATGGCCTCTGGCTTCGGTTCGCAAGCTTCCTGACTTCCCTCCCCCTCAGACACCACGCACAGACGCATCCACCTGGGTCCAATGTGCCGGATCTCCCCCGTGGAAGGCGTGATTCCTGGGCTCAGGGTGTCATGCCCGTGGCCTGGCCTAGACTCACTGCCCAGGTTTTCATGGGACGACTCCTTGACCTTTGGATTCGTTGCTCTTCAGCCAACAGGTCCCTAAACCCTAAACCCTAAACCCTAAACCCTAACCCCTAAACCCTAAACCCTAAGTGAGCGGATCATCCATCCGGGAGTCGGTTGCGCAGTTCGTCTGTGGCTTCTGTCGTGACACTACCAGCATGGGCTATTGTATATAAGCCCTTAAAAGGGCCCCTTTTGTAGGGTTGGCCAAATAGCCCATCCTGGTATGGTCTGGTAGTAAGGCCCATGTTTCGCCTCAGAACCTTGCACGCTGATCGTTTATGTGGCTTGTCGGGTTTGGCAAGTCGATCCTGACCTGTAGTTTCCGTAACGAATATTGGAAGCCCTGCCTAGATAGGGTCCTCATGGATTAGGGCTTAGGGCTTAGGGTTTAGGATTTAGGGCTTCATGTGGCAATGATCGAACAAGGTTCCTCGGGGCCCCTGACTGCCATCACAAGCCATGCTCAACCGAAAATCCATGGGGCCCAACTCACAAAACGAGGCATGGGACGCCCCGTCACACAGACCCTTGTCTGGCAGTGCCAAGTTGCGCAGCACCCGTTTCGCGTGGCCCGGAATGCCATAGATAGTTCCATCCCCTGATGCGAGAGTGTACGAAGCTGATTGGGGAGATTTCGTGTATAATGGGTCGAACATGCACGCTAGCTAGGGTGCTTCCATGGAGCTTTCCCATCTGCAGCGTGACGACAGCTACAATTGAAACTCCTTGCGGGCAATCAGCCTCTGCCAGTTGAAGGCCTGCAGGAACCCCAGGCTCTAAATTGCTGTTTCAGGTGCCGGAATCCAACTGGAAGCTTCCCAGAACCTTAAACCCGGAACCATAACCCCCCCACCTAAACCCCCCCCTAAACCCGTAAACCCTGAACCCTGAGTCTTTCCTTAAGTCGTTCGCCCTGCCCCGCTTCTCGCCCGCCCCCACGCCTGCTCGCGCGCCTCCGAGGTATTTGAACTGACCCATGATGGGGCCTGAGTCTTAGGGTTTTAGCCCCGATAGGGTTTAGGGCTTAGGGAAGTTTAGGGTTTAGGGTTTAGGGGTTAGGATTTAGGGTTTAGGGTTCAAGGATATAGGGTTTGGCTGCTCAGGGTTCAGGGTGACGTCGAATTGATCAGTGCAGGGTTTGGGTTTCGCCGAGTTGGGCCCCTGGAGTTTTCCAACCTTGGGGCAGGCCTGGTTTAGGGTTTAGGGTCTACGAGGTCTAGGGTTTAGGGTTTAGGGTTTAGGGTTTAGGGTTTTGGGTCCAGGGTTTTTGGTTTTCATGGTCAAGAGCATTTGAGCCTGCAAAGCCCAAGCGGTTGTGGGGTTTTGACGAGTTTTGGTAGCCCTAAACCCTAAACCTAAAAGCCTAAACACCCCCCCACCCCCCCCCCCCCCCCCCCAAACACCACCCGAAACACCCGAAACACCCTAAACACCCTAAACACCCTGAACACCCAGGGCTTTAAGGTCTTGCGCTCTGGGGACTCATGGTAGGGGATAGGAGTTGGGGGACCCTGTGGGAAGAAGGCCCAGGTCCCTGTTTAAGAGAGCCAGAAGAGCGTTCAGAAGGGTTCCCTTTCAAGGGACCCTAAACCCTAAACCCTAAACCCTAAACCCTAAACCCTAAACCCTAAACCCTAAACCCTAAACCCTAAAGCCCTAAACCCTAAACCCTAAACCCTAAGGGTCCCCCTTATCCTACCTGGACATGGCGGGTGAGGAGAGCGCAGGTGCCTCCCATGGTCCGCACCGCCAGCCTCAGTGACGCTTTGTTTTTTTTTTTTTTTTTTTTTTGGGGGGGGGGGGGGGGGTTTAGGGTTTAGGGTTTGGGGTTTGGGGTTTGGGGTTTTGGGTTTTGGGTTTTGGGTTTTGGGTTTTGGGTTTTGGGTTTTGGGTTTTGGGTTTTGGGTTTAGTTCATGGGTAGTTATAAGTGGGGTTATAAGTAGGGTATCTATAGCTATGACTGGCTATAGCCTTATTTAGGGTACCTATAACCCGACAAATATAACTACACGTGAACCTCCAAGTAGGGTTTCGGTGGAGTTTAGGGTTTGGTTGGGATGTTCCCCCTTACACTAAAAGTCCTTTATAGAGATTGTTTTGGGGGGTACTAGAATCCCGATTAACGACTGTTAGTAGAAGGGGAAACATCCCAAGGTTTAAGGTTGAGGGTGTCAGAGGGCTGTATGGGGCTTCGTAAGGTCTAGGATTTAGGGCTGAGGATGTAGGACGTTCTAAACCGCATAAACGCAGGGCATTCAGGGGTTCTGAACTTTCGCTCATTCAGCGTCCTTGTCGACAAGGCAGGTGATGATAGAGGTTAACTATAGGGACTCGGCCTTAAACTACCACTATAAGGGGCCACAACGAAGCAGGAGCATTGCCTCAAAACGGACTCTTACGGGGCTCTTTAACCTGGCCCGGGCACGCCAGCGGCCGCACCATGGCTGCGAAAGTGGCAGCCGCACCGCAGCAGATCCACCGCCTGGGCCCCAAGTGTGTGGGGGTCGGGGGGTCGGGGGGGGGGGGAGTTCGATTCTAAGCCCTCCAAAGTGCCCGCAATGGTCAGAACACCCGACCGGCAAGAAGATAGGAAGAACAAGCTCTGGTCCTTGCAGCGGCCCATTTATGGGCTTTGGGCCGAGCATGTGCCAGAAGAGGAGCCCGCTTTGGGCAGAGAAGGGGCAAGAAAACATAGTAGCTGCAGACCCAAAACGAAGAAGCTAACCTGAGGAGAACCTGCATGCCAGTGGGCCCAAAGTCCCCCTAAAAACCCCCCAAACCCCAAACATTCTTTTAACGGGCCACCTGGCCCCCAACCTGCCTCAGCCGAAGCCTCCGCCCCATCAGAGAAGAGGGGGCGGCAGCCCGATTATCCGGGGCTTGCGGGGCACCACGCGAAGTTGTTTACCACATCTAGTGATAGTTAGCAGCGTTACTATTCCTATGTTTGTTACTACGATTCTGACTTTGATTACTATGGCTACGATGATTGCTATTATTCATGACATGTCTATTGTTACTACTAGTACTACTAGTACTATTATGTATATTACTACTATTGCGACTCGCACTACTATGATTGCTAGTATAACTATTCATACTAGTAGTACTCGTATGACTATTTTTGCTAATCTTACTATTCGATTATTGCCAGTACTATTGTTACACATACAAATTGTATGTGTGCATGTATATATATATATATATACATATATATATATATATATATTAGGCTTTATACCCTTTCCTGCTTTCAGATTTTAGGGGCTTTGGGGGGCTTTTGGGGGCTTCAGGGTTTGGAGAGCGAGTGTTCGAGTGGGAACCTCACCCTTCACGACGCTCTCTGATCTCTGCAACCTCGTCACCCCCAGAATCCCTTCTGTGATGCTATGTTATGCTATGTGATGCTACGCTATGATGTGGTTGTTATGTTATGCCATGATTTTTTATGTTATGCTGGGTTGCCTTGTCTTGTCTTATCTTCTCGTATCATATCATGTTTTACCTACGTGTCAGCTTGCAAGGCTGATTCAAAGACTGAGCGAAGAGCGGGCGCAGCTTTCGCGTTTTTTGGGGGCAGGTGGCTGCAATAGAGCCCCAAGAAGGGGAGCACAATTTACAGTAGAGCAACCCCCAGAACCCCAGCCTGCGTTGACAAACACGGGTCCGCAAAAGCATGCTGCTGTTTGGTCTTTTCTATCACACGTCAGGCGAACATCGGGCGTACCTGACGAATTTCAACGGGCTTCTACGCTTCAGAGGGCCGAATGCCTGTTGAACAACCACCCGATTGGCTAAACCGAAAGACCCTTGACCCCTCTCCGCCTAGGACCTAGGCACCTGCTTGGAGGTTCATGGGTAGTTACAAGTAGGGCTATAAGTACCCTACCTAAGGTTATAGCCAGTCATAGCTGTAGTTACCCTACTTCTACACCCCACTTTGTAACTACCCATGACCCTCCAAGAAGGCACCTAGGCACCTGCTGGCTCAGACAGGACGCTGCTTAACTTTCCTGGCGCTCGCCGGGAGCTGAGCCTATCCGTCGCTTGTCAAGCCGTTGTTGAGAAAGCGAGGCTTGCAGGCCACGTCGTGGTAGAGAACAGCACTGTCCAACGAGCGTCAAACCCCAACACCATACAGTTCAGACAACTATTTTCACACTTATTCTCACACTTCTTATAGAGAGGTGGTCACGTTTATGCTCTTGTATAAGCCGTTTGCTTGTGATGCCGGGTTGAGGAACCCTAAACCCTAAACCCTGCACCCTAAACCCTAAACCCTCAACCCCAAACCCTAAACCCTAAACCCCAAACCCTAAACCCTAAACCCTATCAGTCTGCCCTCTCCACGACGGCCGGAGCGGGTTCCTCCTTCGGTGCCTCAGCTGTCGGACTCGGCTTGGTGACCTCCTGCTTGGCCTCGGCATCCTGTGGGGTAGGGTTTAGGGTTTAGGGGTTTAGGGATTTAGGGTTTAGGGTTTAGGGTTTGGGGTTTGGGGTTTAGGGTTTAGGGCTCAGGGTTAGGGTTTAGGGCTTAGGGTTCAGGGTTTAGGGCTTAGGGAAGCTTAGGGTTTAGGGTTTGGGTTCATAAAATTTGCACCCTGTCCATTGAGAACCCTAACCTTCTGTAGTGGAGGTGACAAGGGGCGTTGTAAGAACAACCCGAAAAACACAGAACCTAAGCCCTTCTGCCACAATTGCCTAAATTCGGGAGCTCTGCAGGATCTCTGCAGATGCACCTTGGAGTACGAGTCTTAAGCCCTTGAGAGTCCACAAATCAACAAGCCGTCCCCTCTTTCCGGCATATTTGGCCTCGAGTTCAATTGTGCGAGGGTCCAATGTCCAAGAAGCCTATGACATCCTTCAAGCAAAGGCTTCGTGCTAGCTTCGCCGATTAGCCGGGCGAAGGGGGCCCGGAGCAAACAAGGAACTGTCAAAGCAAACTCCGCCGTCCAGCTGCAGTCCAACTCAAGGCTGGATAAGCCGTTTTTCCCTTCATCTCCCTCAACTTCATAAGGAACCCCAAACACTGAATCTTGAAGCCAGAATCAACCCTGAACCCCTCAACGTTCAGGACCCTAAGCCCCAAACCCTACTAACACTCTGAGCCCTAGACTCCTAGGCCCCAAGCCCTAAACCCAAAGGCCTGAAAACTCGAAGATCCAATATACAGGTCGGAATACTTACTTCTAGTATTCCCTTATGGTCCCTGTGTATTATACTGTAAGAACCCCGAAACCCTACTCTAATTATGAAGGCCCCTAAGCCCCAAACCCTAAACCCTGAACCCTGAACCCTAAACCCTAACCCCTAAACCCTAAACCCTAAACCCTAAACATCCCAAAACCCTGAACCCTATTCTAATTATTCAGGCCCCTATGGTAGACTTGCCGGGCCTTCGGCTCGGGAGCTGGTAGGGCCGGTTGGGGCCCGGCGCTTGGCCCTGAGACGCAGCGGGGACAAAGCAACGCTGAGGCGCTTCTTTGCGCTTCGGGCTTAAGGCTTCAGGGCTCAAGTAAAAGGGGTAAGGTTCAAGGTTTAGGACTTAGGGTTCGGATTTCAGACATCAGGGGTTGTTGCGAGGCTGCTTGAGACCGTCGTTGCGCAGAGGGATCAACGCTCCACCCAAGTGCGAGGAAACACTGGCCCTTGGGCTGGCGCATCCTCCGTACAGCCTCCAGCCACGGAGGTGTGGTTCAGCTTGCACTAGGAGTTGCAGAGCACCGTAGATGCAGCGGACGCCACCACCAAGTCCTATCGCCCCCCGTAACGCAGGCGTGTCGGGCGCGGAGTTCGAAGCGCTGATGCCAGCGGAAGCTGTAGGCTTGACGGCAATCTGCCGACGGCCAAGGTCTGGCACTGGCGGTGGCAGCGGTTGTAGTCGCCTTCGACGACCAATGCGGGCCAGGACTGGCACCCTAAAACCCAGAAAGCAAACCTCCCGCGAACGCGGCTATCGTCCCAACATCGCCGAGGCCGAAGTCATCGAAGCTTCCCAGAGCATTTCGTGCCAGCGCTGGCTGCGGCCTGCAACAGCATCTCTGCGCAGAAGAGTTTCTGACCTGCAGAAGGCGCCCGGCGTCGGCATTCTACCGACCGTGCCTGCCGCTCCAAGCGCGGGAGCACTGAAGGTGCATGGTTCTGGAGTGGGCTTGGGCTGCACGGGACGCAGAGCCCCGCAGCTCCAGATCCACGGCGCCAGCGCAGGGAGCGCAGATGCAGATGGGCCAGCTTGGTGTGCAGGAAGTCCCGCCGACCCTCCATCTCGAGGAATCGCGCGACCCCATCGTCGTCGCCCGACCCACACCGGGCCACATGGGAGTTTACGAAAAGAAAGGACCCCTAAACTAGACCCCCAAGTAGTCGGATTCCCCTAAAAGGCACCCCCCTAATTGCAGAAAACCCCACATGCAACGCCGGGCACAAGAAGCCGCGCGCGGGGACGACACCTTCCAAGCCGCGTCGGCGAGTCTATGCGCCACTGCCAGCAAGCCCGACGGAGACACGCATGGCCACCACGCTTGGGGATTAAGAGGGTTTAGGATTCACGACACTCCAGTTCTGGTGTTCGAGCCTGTCTTCAGCAAGGCTCGTCCATGTTTAGGGCTTATAGTTCAAGGTTTAAGGTCTGGTCCCAACATAGGGGTGCAATCCTTCTTATAGAAGCTTTGCAAAAAGGGGTACCATTTTTCGGAAACCCCCAAATGCCTGTAAAGACTCTTTGGGGAATCAGGCCTCGGGGAAACTTTAGCGCTGAGAGGGGGTCTGCCCCTGGGGTTCAAAGGTTCCTAAAACATGGCCTTGTTGTAGCCTGCCCTACCCTAAACCCTAAACCCTAAACCCTAACCCTAAACCCTAAACCCTAAACCCTAAACCCTAAACCCTAAACCTTCTAAAACTCAGGCCCGACCCCTGAGGTTTGAAGAAGCACCCCCCCGCCTGCGGCTGCAGGGCCTTCAGCCTTCAGCGGAGCGGCCTGCAAGGCGTGGAGGTTGTCGGTGCCAGGGCTCAGGGAAGCTAAGGGTTTAGGGTTTAGGGTTTAGGGTTTAGGGTTTAGGGTTTAGGGTTTAGGGTTTGGGGTTTGGGGTTTGGGGTTTAGGGCTTAGGGTTTAGGGTTTAGGGTTTAGGGTTCAGGGTTTAGGGTTTAGGGTTCAGGGTTTAGGGTTTAGGGTTTAGGGTTTAGGGTTTAGGGTTTAGGGTTTAGGGTTTAGGGTTTAGGGTTTAGGGTTTAGGCCCCTAAACCCCAACCCCGAGTCCGCTACACTGGGAAGGCCAGAAAACTAGGGTGAAAAATCGGGTTTCTTAGGGGGGTTGCGAGGCCTGGAGAGTCTTTTTGATGGCCTCAGAGCTTCTTCGTCACACAGAATTCAAGGCACTTGTGTGGGTTTAGGGCTTAGGGCTTAGGGCTTAGGGCTTACGGCTTCGGGGTTTAGGGGTTAGGGTTTTGGGTTTATGGCTTAGGGTTTAGGGTTTGGGGTTTAGGGTTTGGGGTTGGCTGAGGGTAGGTCAGATGCACCCATGCAAGGCGTGCTGTGGCGTGTGCCAAGGTTCATGCTCCCTCGCAACTCGCCCACCCAGTCCATGTTTAGGGCTTAGGGCTCAGGGACCCTAAACCCTAAACCCTAAACCCTAAACCCTAAACCCTAAAACCCTAAACAGTGGTTTTCGGAGTACGAGGGCTGCGAACCCTTGAGGCCAGACCTGCTGCTCGGTTTCCTGCAGGCACCACTGGCTCAATACAAAAGAAACATCAAGACTCTGGCCGGCCGGGGTCTGCCGTAGATGCAGCCAAATCCGAACGGCTGCCAACGTTCGGGCAGAAGGCAAAAGAATCCCCTCCCCCAAGATTAAACCACCCCCCTGCCCCCTAATATGAATTACCCCCCAGTATAGTTCTATTATAGTATATGCGGGGGGGTGTAAATATTGGGGGATAGGGGGGTTCAATATTAGGGGGAGGGGATTCCTGAGAGAGGCCCCAAAGCTTGAGGCCGGGCCCTGGAGGGCGCTCTGAAGGTGTAAGGTCAAGCTCCTACCCAAGGTCCCCAGTACCCCCGGTAGAAAAACAGGAATGCTCCCTAAATAAGGGTTCCGTAGCTGGCTTAAGGACCTTAAGGAGTATTCCATAATTCATAATTAAGGAGTATTGGAGTCTCTGGGTACGGAACCTGCCAGCGCGCTTGGAGCCGTGCGCCGGCACCTTCCAGGCGCTGACAGAGCTCCCGCGCAGCAACTGTCTCGCCAGCTCCGGGAGCTGCCAAAGCCGTCGCCAGCTTCCACGCCCGGCTCTTCGCAGCCCATAGGTCGCTTGAGTTTAGAGCTTAGGGTTTAGGGTGTATTACAAGCCCAAACCAGCCAGCCCTAAGCCCAAAGAGCCCGCCCCCAAAGAACAGCCCCAAGCCCGAGAACCACAGAACCCACTTGGCCTCCTTCACATCCTTGGGCGGCTCGGGAAGGGGCCTGGAGAGAGGCAGACTTGGGTTATTTACCACACTTTGCCGGATTGCGGTCGGTCAAAAAATCCTGGAGCCGTGGGGCCTCGATTCAAAGCAGCCCTCTAGATGCCCAAATAGGCTGAGAGTTTCGGTTTCAGATGCCTTCCCCGCACCCCGCCCACAAGCCCCAAAGGCTTTGGCCCCCCCCCCCCCCCCCTCTCGGCCTTCCAAATTCAGGTTCCCCGGTCGTAACCCCTTCTCCCGCCCTTTTCACGGACTCTCGTCCCTCAAGATGCTGACTATCTATCATCGACAGGCTCTCCCGGCCAAGGTCAGGAGTGGTTTTGAGGTTTCCAAAAATTGGTGTAGGGCCAGAGCCTGAAAGCCTTTCGGGATGTGTTTTTGGGTGGTTCGGCTGTCAGGCCCCTTTGAGATATCTTGCCACACGGATGCTTTAACAATGGCATCTAAGGCATGCGGGAAACCCTAACCCCTGAACCCCTGAATCCCTAAATCCCTAAACCAGTGGTGCCTTCGGTAGCGCGGGGCGGTGATGCCGGCACGATGCCTCAACGCATACGGCTAAGAGGTCAGCATCTACGTTGTTTTTTTGTGGGCTTCAATTTTTAGGGTCAGCGTGTAAGGATTTAGTGTTGCCGGATGTTGCGGGCTAGGGGTAGCAGAAAAGTCACGGTGTCAATCTCTCTCTCGTTCTCTCCGGCTTTGTCCCTTTCGGGGAGGGGGGGCAGGCGAAGCTCGCGCATTCACAGCCAGTCTGCATCAAACGCAGGTACTGACGGTGGCATCGATTCCGCTGCCCAATTTTGCATGGGTTAACAATGCACCAAGACTTCAACTTCGCGCAGCACATAAATTGGTAGGTGGCATATGTCCCGAAACACTAGTAAGACTGTGCAGCCATCGAAGATACCAGTACTCGCACCACGTGAAAAACCACAAGCACACATGGGTACGACACGTCTCCCGGTCTCTTGAAGGCAGGTGTCGTTTTCAGCTTCACATGGAGCTCTTGCTGGTATACAACCCGCTTTTGAACTTGTCAGGCAAGTCACACGTAGAAAACACGTGCATAGCCGCATACGTCCGAAGAAACCACACGTCCAATCTTAACTCGTCAGGGAGCTGATCACGGCGGCCGCCTTTGTAGCTGCCACGGTGCGGCGGCCCCGACCTCACCACGCTTGAAGGTACGACAGGAGGTATGTATGGGACGTTGAGGCTTGTGAGGGAGCTTCCATGTTCAAGTTTCGTTCTTCCAACGTTCTGAGAAGGACAAAAAATGTGCTTACAAAGGGCCCCTGGCTTGCCGCAAATTCCTGCTTTCAGTGAACTCAGGCGTCGGGGGGGGGTAAGATGGACACTATGCTGCACGTGCGTGCCTTCTTAAGAGATTTCTTGTAAACGAAACACCTGCAGAATGGACACAGCACGCCCGCGGAAGAGACCCAAAGAGCGCGGACGGGCGCAGAGGGCGCGGTGGGCGGAGGGCGCAGAGCACAGAGGCAAACCGGCTTACACCGAAACCTGCCGTCCAACCGCACGTCTCACTTCCCCCGCGACCACGCCTCCCACGCCCCTCTCAGATCAAAGTGTTCCGACCCCCCTCCCTTGACCATGTCCTCTCCATGGTCCCCCTTCAAAAATCATTCCGTCCGACCCTCCTCTGTTGTCCGTCTCCCCTTCGCGGCCTGTTCCGTCATGCAGAACGCGATCCGATAGCGCGTCTTCCGCGTTGAAGCCCTCAACAAGAACCCAGAAAGGTCTTCGGGAACAAGCTAAGAACAACGAGCACGCGCAGAATGGACGTTAAGCGTCCTAGCGGGGGGTGGGGGGCGGGGCTTGGGCATCATGATTCAGAGTGGCCTAAAAGGGGGGATGGGAAAGTGTAGAAACCTATGCATGTTCTCTGAACCCAGCAGGCCCTCAAGGAGATTCGTAGGTACACATAACTGTGCAGTTCCCCTAAGTGGAACTGGGGTCAAAACTTAAAGCAACCACACTGGGGCAGGGCTGGGTTCCCCGAACCCAAACATGCCCAAACCCCAAGACACCCTCATGAACCACCAAAAAAACCTCATTAGAACCCTAAACCCTAATCCCTAAACCCTAAACCCTAGACCCTAAACCCTAGACCCTAAACCCTAAACCCTAAACCCTAAACCCTAAACCCTAAACTCCTCTAGAACCCTAAACCCTCAGCGCCGGGGTCCTCGCGCCATGGAGGAATACTCGGGGTACATGTGGCCGCCAGGCCAGGAGTTGGGCCAGGCGGAGTAGGTGCCGTTGTAGCCTCAAAAAAGCGTACTTCAGATGTGGGATTTCGGGTTTAGGGTTTCGGGTTTAGGGTTTCGGGTTTAGGGTTTCGGGTTTAGGGTTTCGGGTTTAGGGTTTCGGGCTTCGGGCTTGGGGTTTGGGGGGTGGTGAAGGGTGGCACTGGCGAAGAATTTCTGGGTGTGGCGGAGAGGTTGGGTGCCCTTTGCGCGGCGCCGTTTCGAGTCTCCTTATGGTTGCTTGCCTGTTTTCATGCAGCAAACTGTGCTCTGGCACAACAAGCTCTACTCCTCTGAAGGGTCGAGTTTGGGAAAGTTGCAAATCGCGGTTGGGAACCTTTTGGGAGGGGGGGGGGGGTTAGGCCAAAGGCCCACAAGAGGCCTAGCGCCCCTCCGCACCCATCCCAGAAAGCTTCAAACGGTTTGGAAATCTTAGCGTTTGTGTTTACGTAGTCCGGCTTCGCGGGGGATGTGGCCGCACGAGCTGACTGGGGCGCCAGCGGCGCTGGCGAAACCCGAAACCGAAACCCCAAACCCTAACACGCATGGACCTAAGAAACCAGAATCCTCTCAATCACCTTGACCTCGGCTTTCGGGCTTTAAGGTCTATAGGTTAGGGCTTAGGGCTTGGGGTTTAGCATGGCCGCACCTCCCCCCCCCCTTAGGGCTTAGGGCTTAGGGTTTAGGGCGTAGGGCTTAGGGCTTAGGGCTTAAACATCAGCGATTTTTGCCCTTATAGCAATCGAGGAGCCACCAAAGTTGCCGGGTGGGTAGGCGGGCCTCAGCGAGCTCTTCGGTAGAAAGTACACTGCGCTGCACGCTTACGTAACAACAGATCTCTGTGCACCCTAAACCCTGAACCCTAAACCCTAAACCCTAAACCCATCACCCTAAACCCTAAGCCCTAAGCCCTAAGCCCGAAGCTCTAAGCCCTAAACCCCTAAACCGCTCGCTCTCCAGCTCGCACTTCTGTGGACCCTCAGGTCGACAACGACTCTCCAAGCCAGGCTGTCGCCGACTCTAGCGGAATGTACTTGGAGGTTCATGGGTACGTATAACCCCAGTTATACGTCTACCTTTTGCCCACTTAGAGGACTTTAGGGTGCGTAGAGGTACAGTGCCAGTTGGGGTTAGGAGTACCCATGAGCCTCCTAGTAGGGAATCTAGGGTGTAGGGGCTTCAAAAGCTGAGGGATGAAGGGCTCACCCAGAGACTCCAAAGCCCTTCATTAAGGAATATCAGGTCTACACGTCCCGCAACCTCATGCCCTTAAAATTCTAATAGGAACCCTAATATGACCCCAAACCCTAACCCCTAAACCCTGAACCCTAAACCCTAAACCCTAAACCCCAAACCCTAAACCCTAAACCCTTAACTACTCCTTAGTTGAGGGGTCTTGGAGTCTCTGAGTAGGGAGTCTGCGGTCCGGGCAAGGCGGCTGCTGCTGCCTGCTGGGCGGCTACAGCCTGCGCCTGCGCTGCAGCCTGGGCTTCCGACATGGTATTCCCATGCAGATTCTTGTGTGAATGCATATATATATATATATATATATATATATAATTTGTTTATTTATTTCTTTAGTTAGTTCTTTTTATTTATTTATTTAATTTTCTATATACATATGTATATATATATATATGTATACACATTTTTTCAGTCATATTACCAGTCAGGGTTCGGGCTGAAGGATCTAGATGCTATTCAAGAGTTTGGGGATGGGGCTCAGGGCTTGGCCGGGCCCCTCAGCCACTTTGGAGTTGAAGCAACATATGAAGTCAGGCCTGTACGAGCGGCTGGCGCCTGGGCCTCGTCCACCAAGCTGAAACTACTATTTGCTTAAGAACCCCAAAAGAATAAAAAGCAGTAATCCCTATATTACCCTTCATAAGGAAGAATATTTTTAGCAATTAGTAGGAAATAGGCCTAGGCCTAGGCACTCCACACCCCATCTGGTCGGACGAGGTGACGAGATTGGAGATTCAACGTCTGCGCGGCAGCTTGTTGGGGATATGACGGCTGGCGAGCTGGTGGAAGTGCCACGTCATGACAGGTGGCAAGGAACCACCAGGGCATAACGATGGAACGACTCATGTTTTGGTACATGTTTCGGAGCCAGGGCTGGAAAAGAAATCTCCCCGCATCGACGTTGTTCTTGTTCATCGCTTGGCCTCAGAACTGCCGTCTCCCACAGGCAGATAGATGTAAAGCCATGGGTGCCGGTGGCCGGTGGCCTTGCATGAAGTCTACAAAGTCATAGAATATGCACATGTCCATGGACGCCATGGATTGACGCATTCGGTGGACAACACCGCCATTTTCAGGTAGTCCAGAGAGACCTCCTTTCGAAAGGAAGAGCGAGTGGGTCGGAAAATGAAGCCTGAATTTCTGCCGGAAGGTCACTTGCGCTGGATGCGCCAACAGCTTGCAGACTGCATTTCTCGTTGGGGGAACTTCATGCCACCTTCAATAACGGTCCCGGATCCGACCGGCGAAACGACCGCCGGTTGACGCCATAGACGGATCAGAAGTAATCTAAGTTCGCGCACGGCGAGTACGGAACAAACCTAGCCTGGCTTCCGCTTAATGATGACACGCGATGTCTTGCCATTGGCCCAGAATGGAAGCCAAAAATGCTTCATCAGGTTTGGTTGTGGGAGCTGCGCTTGAGCGGGCCATACAGTCGGGCGATGTTGCACTCAAACCCTAGACCCCTAAACCCTAAACCCTAAACCCTAAACCCTCAAGCAATGATCCCGATCAGGCCGTTGGGTTTGCAACCAGGTACTGGCCCTCGTGTTGGGATTTCGTCGCAGTAAGGCCCAGTGGGTCACTTTGAATCTGAGGCTCCGTATAGGCATCTGTTGGTCAAAATATGGAGGAGCTGGATGAACCGAATTGAATCTTGGAGATGAGCCACCATCTCAAACTGTCAAGCCCAAAAGCATCATCCTTTTCGTGTCCTGTGTCTGTGTCTGTGGGTGTGGCTGTGTGTGGGTAGGGGAGGGGGGTGTCGCGTGAGGGATTCGGACACGCTGCTTGAAGGCGAACTGCGTGGATGGGGCGGACCTCGAGGGCGAGCCCTCAGAAGGGGGGTTCTGAGCTGAGCGAGCGCGCCACAAAATAACTGCGGCAGCAGTGTGAATCGCACAAGTTTGATCGAAGAGCCAAACGATGCTCCCAGATGCTGTCGTTGATGAATCTGGAGCCTCCGTCTCTTCGCGCAGCAATCTTACTATATGATTATATGTACGTTGGGCCAAATACTCTGGAGCCCGCGCCAATCACAGCATGGCAGTAACAACAACAACGACGTCAATGCATTGGTTGCGGTCTTGCTTTTCGTCTGCCATTTTGCGCTTCACTCCTTGGCGCCACCTGTTGTTGTGCGACATGCAGCTTGCAGCTGGGCCATGATGCAATCTTGAGTCGAGGCCTTGAGATTGAACGGTGGCGTTGGTAGTCGGTCGCGGGCCATTCAAGAGGAGCCGAGGTCTGCCCCTGGGCATCCCTGGGCCACGGTGGTTGTTTGAGATGCTCAGGTTCCAACCACGGGGCGATGAGACGGTTGCCCAACTAAGGAAGCATATGTGGACAGCAATGAGGGGTGGCTGAAAGGTTCGCGCCGCTGAGTGATCTGCCTTCGAGCGTATCAGAGAGGGCTCATGGGGGCCCCCTTCGGGCCTCATGAGAAGGAGAGGGGGCGGGGGCGGCGATTGGTGTCGGTGCGTACCTTTACGATTCCTGCCCGCAACAACAGGCTGGGGCGGCGCATGACATGTGCTGGCGCGGATGAAGCACCTGAAGCGGCTTGTCCAATGAGGAAGATGCCAGGATGCCAGCGAGAAGACCTGGGGCTGACGACAGGAGTCCCGAGGGGGGAGTAACGAGCCTGGCTCAACACCGAGAGGCCACGCGCGGCGAGGACCACCAGAACTCCCGGCCTAGGAGCAGCCCCCCTGCTCAAGAGGATGCTGAGTTTGTGGAGTTTGGGGTTGCAGATCGGCTCCCCGATGGTGAGGGCAGGGCCGGGTTTGACTCTTCAGGGCGTCGGGCCAAGCTGTCCTAAACCCTGAATACCCTCTAACCGCGCAACCGCGCAGGACCATTCAGCTCGGGTTTTTTTCCAGGGCTTCGCCCTTCAGATGCCCCTTCCCACCCCTTAAGGTACCCCTCAAAATAAGGGCTTTGAAAGCCCTGAATCAATTTGGGAAAGACGAGGAAAAGCAATCACACGGGATCTCCCTCCATGAGCTGTGCTTCGGTGCTTCACGGGAGCTAAAGATCCGGCGGCAGCTCCCAGAGCCGCATACGGCCAGGCATCCTGTTTTGCGGTTTAGGGTTTAGGGTTTAGGGTTTAGGGTTTAGGGTTTAGGGTTTAGGGTTCAGGGTTCAGGGTTTAGGGTTTAGGGTTTAGGGTTTAGGGTTTAGGGTTTAGGGTTTAGGGTTTAGGGTTTATTGTTCAGGAACCTCCAAGTACCAAGGGTTTAGGGAAGCACATGACACTGGCAAGCGAAGCTCCCTTGAAGGCTTCAGGGCCCCAGGGCTACCAGCATCTTCTGGGGTTTCCACTTTTAGGGCTTAGGGTCTAGGGTTTTAGGGTTTAGGGTTTAGGGTTTAGGGTCTAGGGTTTGGGGTTTAGGGTTTTTTGGGTTTAGGGTTTAGGGTGTAGGGTGTAGCGTTTCGAGTGCAGGGTTTAGGGCTTCGGGTGCACGAAGAATTTCTGGGGAATGCCACTGGCCTGCTGCCTTCGGTCGTCCCGCTTCGGCCGCCGCCTGTCAGATGATTCTACATGATGAACACGGTTTAGGGTTTAGGTTTAGGGTTTAGGGTTTAGGGTTTAGGGTTTAGGGTTTAGGGTTTAGGGTTGAGGGTTTAGGGTTTAGGGTTTAGGGTTTAGGGTTTAGGGTTTAGGGTTTGGGGTTTGGGGTTTAGGGTTTAGGGTTTAGGGTTTAGGGTTTAGGGTTTAGGGTTTAGGGTTTAGGGTTTAGCTACCTCTGCCAGACATCCATAATTGGTCGAGAAAGAGCATTTCATGGTCATTTTTCAGGATAGCTGCAAGCAGATATTCAATCGTTAACTGTTGCCACTAACTTGATGATTGCTGCTATTGTCAATACTGCCATCTCGTTTTCAAAGCCCTCAACACTCGTTGAGCCACACACCCTGAACCCCCAGCTTAAAGTCGCTCTAAACCCTAAACCCTAAATCCTAAACCCTAAACCCTTAAAGTAGGCCCTATATCGATGTGTGCGTACATGGCTCGGCCTGTGGAACAGCTGATCGGCTGTAGGTGGCTGTGCCCCTAAACCCTAAACCCTAAACCCCAAACCCCAAACCCTAAACCCCAAACCCCAAACCCTAAACCCTAAACCCGAAACTCCAAACCCCAAACCCCAAACCCCAAACCCTAAACCCTAAACCCTAAACCCCAAACCCTAAACCCTAAACCCTAAACCCTCATGCTCTCACACCTGGCATCTGCGGAGCTGCTGGTGGTCGATTCGTACTCGTACCTCGGCTGGGCTTGCTGAGGTTTAGGGTTTAGGGTTTAGGGTATAGGGCTTAGGGTTTGGGGTTTGGGGTTTGGGGTTTAGGGTTCTGCGCCTCCTCATCACGCCAGCATGACATTCTGAGATGAGAATTCACACCCGCCGGCAACCCACTTTACACCAGCCGGTCAGCACGACCGCCTCGCAACAACGCTTTCTTACAAGGGTGGTTTAAACCGGGCAGGGCCCTCTTAAACATATGGCAACCCAAGGGTGGCGCTTCAGCGAAAAAAGCAGCCAAAGGGCTCGTCTTCCTCCTCTTCCGCAGCCTCGCGAGGTCGCAATTGGAGAAATTTCAAGGCCGCAGTCATCGCGACTGGAAGCATGCATAATAAGGCCATCGTGCGACGGAAGACAACGCTGTGAAGGTACAAGCATTTCTGAGGGATGAGGTCTCAAAACCGGAGTAAGGAAAGGAGACGTTCACACAACAGTTTGAGAACCTGAGAAGCAGGTGCACAAATTGTAAACGACAAACGACAAAAACCCAAGCAACACGTGCTCCAGTGCATCTCACCTTATCAAAGCCTGACAAGTAACCCTGTTTGTCGAAACCCTTTGCTCTTCTGCTTTTGCGGCGTGGCCCAGACATCCCAATGCCCTACAGAGAAGGACTATGTCAATGTGAAGAAGAAAAGCACGCACAGGTGGATTTCCCGTATTTGGAATCCCCTCTGGGTACCATTGCCCTCTGATGGCGCTGCATAGTGGGACGAATTCGAAAAAGCTCTAAACATAAAACCCTGAAGCCCTAAACCCCTAAAAGACCTAAGCCGCACTACAAGAGTTGCCAAAGTAGGGTACCTATTTAGAGGTATTGAATACCGGAACCGAATTATCCTTCCTTGCGTTTGTCTTGACACCCTACATACGAGACGACTTTGGGGGAAAAGGCACGGGGCCTTCGCAACCTTCTCCTTCGCAGCTTTTTCTTTCCCAGGGTTCTCCTTCGCAGACTCCTTTGCTGGAGGCGGCGCCGCCGCCGCGGCTTTCTGCGGGGATTTCCTTGGCCCACACGCTTCACAGTGCTGCGTCAGGATCAGCTTCTATTGCAGCTACTTGTCCCAGGCGTCTGCGCAGGGGGGGGGCGAAGAACAGACAGGGGCAATGCTGCGAAGCGGCTGCGGGGTGGGCTGCGCCGGCGTGGCAGCAGGCAAGGCCTCCACGCAGCGAACGAAGAAGTCGCTGCCCACTTTCTCAACTCTTACCCCAAGCCCTTACCCCTTGCCCCAAGCGTAGCGTGGAGGACGGCGCCACGCCTTTGGGGAGCTCGTCTTGGTCTCGGCCTGCACCTCACCTCAAGGTAGTGGCTTCAGGGGGGGGGGGGGTCTAGGGGGCTTCAGGAGTTTTAAGGAGTTTGAGGAGTAGGGCTGGGGCAACTGCGGGGTTCTTCTCGGGCTTTAGGGCTTTAGGGCTGTAGGGCTTTAGGGCTTTAGGGCTTAGGGCTTAGGAGGGTTTAGGGTGTAGGGTTTAGGGTGTTAGGGCCGAAGGGCTTTAAGGCTTCAAGGTTTAGGGGCGCCCTGCAAAGTCGAAGTATTCCACCACATCGCCCCGGGATCCTCCCCTTGTAAACAGTCCCGATGATAGTTCGGAACCTGATAAAACAATAAAGATATATATATATATATCTAGATACTATGATAGTATAGATATATTACATATATAGATTGTTATTGTATTTAAGGTCCCAAACAAACACAACAAAAAGCCGCTCCGCACGAAGCCCCTAATTACGGAACTTGAAGCTTGAAGCCCCCTTGTGGAAACTGAAACCCGAAGATCCCGCACTGAAGCTCCACGTCCCGAAACAGCTGAAGGATTCCCTCGAACTGCGACATCTCAAGGATGAACCCCTGCTTGCGCGCCTGAACCCTACATTGCCTGAAGCCTCGATGACAATATCCCATGAACCCCCAAAGAATCCGCGCCCAGGGTGAAAGAAAACTCACCAATTGCCTCCAAGCTGAACGTAACAAGACAAAAGCACGTGGGGACTCCTTTATTTCGGCTAGGCACACCCCCCGCCCCCCCCCCCCCCCCCGGGTAAAACCCCCCTATGCCCCACGAAAGCTGCCTTCTGACTGCTGGTGTGGCTTCAGTGGCGAGGGGCCCCGGCTCTTCACCGGCCTCTCTGCGCGCATTCGAGGCTGGAGGGTGGCTCGTGGATGTCCCAAAAAAGGGGAACCTCTTTTTGTACCCCAAATAAAATAGAATCCCCTTAAAGGGCCCCCAAAAAAAGGGTACCCCGATATTCGCAAGCCCCCCATGTTGTGGCCTAAGGATTTAGGGTTTAGGGCTTCGGGTTTAGGGTTTAGGGTTTAGGGAGCCACGGTACCCATCCCTCTCCGCATTTGCAGTCCTGAGTCCTCTGGGGATTCCAGCCCTCTTGACAAGCCTCGACAATTCATCTACTTCTGATTTTTCGGGCTCCGTTGCCAAATCCACCAGTCTGCAGGTACAGGAAGCACACCAGCAATTTCACATACCCTCAGCTTCAACACACTCCTCGAACCCATACCCTCAGCCCCACCTTACCCCGAAATCCTTGCTCTTCACCTAGAAATCCTACAACATGGGCATTTCCCAAAATAGGGGAACCCCTTTGTATACCCCAAAATAAGATAGAATCCCCTTAAAGGGACCCCCCCACGAAAGGATACCCCGATCTTCGCAAGCCCCCATGTTGCGAAGAAGGAGGCCGGGCTCGGACGGTGAGCCCTGAAGCCCTGCACCCCCCAAGACCCTCAGCCCCAAGAACCCCGAAGCCCAGATCCTCAGCCACAAACCCTTGATAATCAGGGTTTAGGTAGGGTAAAGGGTTTAGGGTTTGGGGTTTAGGGTAAAGGGTTAGGGTTTAGGGTTTGGGGTTTAGCGTTTGGGGTGTTCGGGCGTAGGGTGTAGGGTTTAGGGGTTGAATCTGTCCAAGCCACGATCGCGCCGCCCGCGGGGACTTCGCCGGTCGAGGCGAGGGGACGCGCTTGGAGGCAGGCCTAAGGCACGATCCATCTATAAACCCCAGAAGCCCTACATACCCTATAAGCCCTGCAAGCCCTATAGACCCTGTAACCCCTATAAACCCTATGAGCCCTGCAAAGGTTGTGTAGGGCTGAAGGCCCTGGTCTAAAGTTCAGGGGCCTTATAGGGTCAGGGCTTAAGGTTGCTCAAGGGCTGAGGACGCAGGCTTCAGGGTCTGAGGCTTAGGGTGAAGGTGTATTGAGAGGACTTTGGAGGTTCGAGGGCTGGGCGCAGTCCTTGCAGCTTTCGCTGCGGGCACGGGGGCACCCAAGATGCTCGCGAACACAAAGAGGCCAATACCCTTTCTTTAAGGCATCAACCTCTCAAATTAGTGCCCTCAACCCTCAACCATCAACCCTCAACCACTCACCCCTCAACCCTCAACCCTCAACCCTCAACCCTCAACCCAATCCTCAACCCTCAACCCTCAACCCTCAACCCTCAACCCTCAACCCTCAACCCTCAGCCCTCGCCGAAGGGCGATCTTTGCCGCGGGGGTTGACTTCGCGACCTGGCTGTCTTAGCAAGCCGGGCTTGCTGTTGATCAACAGCGCCTCACCCAACAGAGAGCTCAAAGAATATCAGGGCCTCGGGGGGCCCACACTTCAGCGGAACAGTTGTATGCGCCTCAGGCTTCGTCTTCCTTACGAACGGATTTTGGGGGGGTTGGCCCGCCAAAGCCCGGACCCCCCTCCCTAGACCCCGGACCCTAACCCCTAAACGCTAAACCCTAAATGGCATCCTCTTCGACACCTGCAGGTCTCAGATATCCCAAGGGCACCACTCCACCAGCAAGGACGAAACTTGCGCCACCAAGGGGCCGGGGCCGGGCAGGCCGAGGTCGAGGAGAGCGGCTGCGCCTTCTGCTCGCCTTCTTGAGAGGGTTGAGGAGGATTGAGGGTTGAGGGTTTAGGGTTTAGGGTTGAGGGATTTCGGGTTTAGGGTTTAGGGTTTCGGGTTTAGGGTGGGTATATGGGGACATGCACTGAGCTGAAGCTTTGCTAGGATTGCTCGGCTGATTGAAGCTCCGGCACAACACAATCTTCAGCGTTTCGCTGCGGCACCTGCTCCACTGAACGTTGATTCCCACAAAACACCTAGCTTCCAAATGCTCTCAAGCTAACTGGCTGTCTCGCATTCAACGCCCGGTTGAATGAAAACTCTGGACCCTTCCCAAAAGGCACCTGCGGCGAGATCGCATTGTCCAGTTTCGGAGCCTGGAGGAATGAACTCAACCAAGACCCCGGCGATGACAGAGATGCGTGGGGCAAACCGGGACGACGATCTGGTGTTCTCGTTATCGGACTGCAAAAACGACCTATATGTTGCTGTGCATGCTGCCTCCCGGCTACGTCCCCCACACATATCATCGAACCTGGCGCCCCCTTGAAGCAAACTGCAAGGCTCGTAGAGGCAAGGCTGCAGGAAAAAGTGTCGCCAGCGCTAGCCAACACGCCCGGAAACCCCGAACGCCTGAAACCCTGAACCCTAAACCCTAAACCCCAAACCTGAAATCCTGAACCGGGATGCCTTCTTCGGAGGATCCGACGGCCGCTCCCGACTGCGCTTGCGGTCGCGACTGCCAGGGATGCTTCGGGTGGGCCATGGTTGAGGCTTTGGTGCTTTGGGCTCCCTTGGGGTGGAGGATGCAGCAAACGTCCCCGCTCGAAACCCGAATTCAACCGCCCGCAACCGCAACAAAAACCCTAAACCCTAAACCCTAAACCCTAAAACCGAAAACCTAAACCCTAAACCCTAAACCCTAAACCCTAAACCCTAAACCCTAAACCCTAAACCCTAAACCCTAAACCCTAAACCCTAAACCCTAAACCCTAAACCCTAAACCCTAAACCCTAAACCTCAACCCTAAACCCTAGAAACCACCACAAACGGAAACAGCCAGATCCCGCTTCGCTCGCGGGCTGCGGTGCGGGTGCGCCGATCGGAGCCGCAGCCCCTGAGGGTTTAGGCATAAGGTTTAGGGTTTAGGGTTTAGGGTTTAGGGTTTGGGGTTTAGGGTTTAGGGTTTTTGGTTCAATGCATACAGGGTTTTGTAGGCTTTCGAAGGAAGGGGGGGGGGGGGGGGGGCTCAAAACCTCGGGCTTAGTTTGCCTACAACTTGCAGTTGTGAGAAGGCCTCGGTTAACATCCCGGTTTACGGAACCTCGGGCAAGGGGGCTGTAGCCATGCGCACCTTGTGGGAACCGCGTCTCTAGCCTGACCGAGAACCCGACACATCAAGGCTCAGGGCTTAGGGTCTAGGCTTAGGGTCTACAGGGCCCAGGGCTTCGGTTGGGCCGAAACAGAAACCTGGGGCTCTGCCACCAAAGCCCAACACAGTAGCGCCATGTGCTCTCCCTGCTGAGACCTACCATCACCCTCAACCCAACGACCTACTAAACCCAAAACCCTGCACCGCGCACAGGCAGCGAAACGGCTCACTTTCTGTGCACCAACACTGGTGCCCAGTGTGGGTCGGGGGTTTGCTCGATCCTGTGCTGGGGTGACCGTTGATGAAGTTCCAACGCGTGACACACGCAAACGAATGGGATGGGCTCCTGGGAATCCATCCACAAGTCTGGAGGATTCCCGAAATTAGGGGGTACCTCAGTAACGTCCCTCATTATAAGGGGATCCTACTATTTAGGGGGTCTATATTCGGGGCCCCCTATTTTCGTAAAGCCCCAAGTCGTGCGCTCCTACATCGAATGGCCAGGGCCAAAACCCCCATCGAAGTGACATCGGTTCACCCGAAAGTGTTCAACAGGAGTGTGCAAAAGAGTGTTGGAGAAGGAGAGTGCACAACGAGTGTAAAGCGTGTAAGAAGAAGCTTTTTCTGAGGCATCAAAATACACTCATAATGTGCATGTATATGTGTGTATTAAGCACAACAGCTACAAAGATCTACCAAGTAAACATACACTGGCCGTCATCCTTCATCGAACAATCGAACCCCCAACCCAAAAGACAGCAAACACCCCAAACCAAAGGCACGGCAACAAAAACCCAAAAACTAAACCAAAGGCACAGCAACCAAAAACCCAACAACTAAACACAAAAGAACACTGGAGAAAGAAATATATTAATAATCATAATACTAATAATACTAATAATAACTGTAATAATAATCATAATCATAATCATAATAATAATAATAGTAATAGTAATAGTCATAATAATAATAAAAACAAGCTCTGCCAGCAGCCTCCCGATACCCTCAAAGTCCCTTGCGGGGCTTCGCCTTGGGAGAGCGGCCCTTGGGAGCCCGCCGGCTGCGGCTGCGCCGGTGCTCGCCTCTCCTCCACGCGCTTCGGGGAGAGCGGGGGGATTTGGGTTTAGGGTTTAGGGTTTAGGGTTTAGGGTTTAGGGTTTAGGGTTTAGGGTTTAGGGTTTAGGGCTTAGGGTTTAGGGCTTAGGGTTTAGGGTTTAGGGTTTAGGGTTTAGGGTTTAGGGTTTAGGCTTAGGGTTTCAGGGTTTCGGGGAATGTTCATGCTTAGAAGTGGGGATACAACAACCCTAAATAAGGCAATAACCCCACTCTTTAAATGAACCTCCAAGAATGGGTCTAGAATGAGGGCCCGCTGGATGGGTCTTTGGGCCTTCTTTTTAACTCTAAACCCTAAACCCTAAACCCTAAACCCTAAACCCTAAACCCTAAACCAGATAGTATTGGCATTGGCTCAGGGTCTTTGAGGCCCAGCATTCAGGGAAGAACCGTGGCCTTGCCGTCGGTTAGTAGGGAATGGGGGAAGTGAGGTACCCTATATAATCCCTTAAAGGGTGTATACAGATATATATATATATATACACATCCCTTAAAGGGTGTATGTATATATATATATATATGTATACATCCCTTAAAGGGTGTATACATATATATATATATATACATAGCCCTAATTCCCTCATTCCCTGCTGACCAACAGCAAGTAGCTCGAACTAAGCTCAGGATGCCTTCCTTGATGGGGTATTTGGGGTACGGGATGACACGCTCTTGGAGTAGATTTGTGTATGTATGTATACATATATATAGTACAGGGTACACATATGTAATTCTGGCCTAAAAAGCCGCTAGAAATTCAACACTAAACCCAGCGGCAGGCTTCTGCAACCATGGTTGTCCCGGAGCGTTGGGCTTGGGATGTAGGCAGGATGTAGCGCAGCGATCCCCGCCGATTCTGCACCGCCACCAAGCTTCACGCAGGTCTCCCCTGCTCAGAGTCCTCGAGTCCGCGACCTCTGCAATGACCGAACAAGGTCAGAGGCGAAAGACACGTGAGTCGGTACTGACCCGGGTGAGCTCGGAACAGTCTCCATCGTCAGGGCACCACAGTAGGGCCATCTAGACAAGTCAAAGACCCCACTGGGGTCCCCAGGTGATGGGGCCACAGCTTCAGGCTCGGGATTGAGGGCTTTTTTGTTGGGGGGGGGGGGGGGTTTTAATGTTGGTTTGGGGCCTAGGTGGATGATGCGGTTTAAAGTTTAGAGCCCTGAAGGGTTTTGCAGGTTTTGTGGCACACTAGTTAGGAACAAAACAACAGACACCCCCTCCTACACCCAGGAACCCAATGATTTCCGGTACGGGTCTAGGAAGAAAACCTACCCCAAGCCCACAATCCCTGTACCCTCATCCTTAACTGCCCTAAACCCCAAACCCTAAGACTGAACCCTCAAACCCCAAACTCTCAACCCTGTCCTCCGCGTCGGGCGCTGCCGGCGCCTTTGACTTCGGGCGCGGCGACCGGGTCGCCGCCTGGAACCTCTGCCCGAAGTGGCTCCCCTTATCCATTAAGGGGGGCCTGGGGTTTGGGGATTAGGGTTTGGGGTTCAGGGTAGTAGGTTCGGGTTTGGAGTTTATGGTTTGGGGCTTGGGGCTTGGGGCTTAAGGGTGTTTAGGGTTTCGACGCGAAAACAGAGTTTAGCGTTAGAACAGAAGCCCTAAATCCGAAATCCTGGACCCTCTGCCTGCTCCTGGGATTTCGAGCACTCTAAGAGCAGAAGAAGGGCTTGTAGTTCAACTATGAGCTTCCTGGGCGAACTGAAGGTCCACCTTTGCATCAAAAATTGAGACCTCTGCATTTCGGGTACCCCAGATCTGGCCCAGCGCGGAGCAAGACAGACAAGCTACAAACCTTCTAGGAGGGAGGCTTCTCACAAGGTACAGTCCCACAGACTGGCTTTTTGAGGGTTGAAGGGTTTTGGTTGGGGTTACCCTAAACCCTAAACCCTAAACCCTAAACCCTAAGCACCCTACCAACTTAAGCTGCGGCAGGCCTCTCCCCGAGCGCCGGGGCTCTTCTTTGCGCGGCTCCCTGCTAGGGTCTGGGGTTCAGGGTTTAGAATTTAGGGTTTAGGGTTTGGGGTTTGGGGTCAGGGTTCAGGGTTCAGGGTTCAGGGTTCAGGGTTCAGGGTTCAGGGTTCAGGGTTCAGGGTTCAGGGTTCAGGGTTTAGGGTTTAGGGTTTAGGGTTTAGGGTTTAGGGTTTAAGGTTTAGGTTTTCAGGGTTTCGGGTTTAGGGTTTGGGGTTTCGGGTTTAGGGTTGAGGGCGCTGGGTTTCTGATTGGGGTTCGGGGTCTCATGGGATTTGGTGGCTGGTGGGGCAGTTGGGGGCGCCGATGAGGCTGCTGGGTGCATCATCTCAAGTCCACGCATTCACTAGTCAAGCAATTACTCCAGGAAAATACCCACCCGCCCAAAGAATCCCACAACATTAAGAAAACATTTTTCTTATAGAACGACCTTGCCCTTGCCCAGTAAAACGGCGACCTTGCCCAGTAAAACGGCGACCTTGCCCAGTAAAACGGCGACCTTGCCCAGTAAAACGGCGACCTTGCCCAGTAAAACGGCGACCTTCGGGGTCCAAGGTCGCATTTTTACTCGGCAGGGGCTGGGCAAGGTCGCCGTTTTACTGGGCAAGGTCGCCGTTTTACCGGGCAAGGTCGATTTTTTTGACCCAACTGACCTTGCCCAGTAAAACGGCGACCTTGCCCAGTAAAACGGCGACCTTGCCCAGTAAAACGGCGACCTTGCCCAGTAACTCCTTAACATTTAAATTATATATGAAAGAGAGGTTCAGGGTTTCGGGTTTCGGGTTTAGGGTTGAGGGCGCTGGGTTTCTGATTGGGGTTCGGGGTCTCATGGGATTTGGTGGCTGGTGGGGCAGTTGGGGGCGCGGGTGAGGCTGCTGGGTGCATTTGTGGTGCGTAGCGCGGGGCTTTGTCCGCCTCTCTGAGAGACGAGAGGGAAGCAACAGCCTGTTCGCTGTTGCTCCCTGCCAATGCCATTGCCACTGATTCGACGCTGATGGCTACCATCGCAAGCAAAAAAGTATCAACCGGCCAAACAAACATCACAAGCAAGCGAAGATCAAGCAACCAAACAAACATCTCCAACCAACCAGGCCCACCGACACCTAACTGGAAGACTAGAGCCATCACTAACACTCACCAGTCACCTTGTGTCACTATGTCTTCGTGCATGAATCTGTGTCATTCATTGGTGCGCACGCCTTCTGGGCGATGATCGCCGTCTTGGTGGGGAGCGCCTGGCCGGGGAAGCTCTGGCCGGCGAAGCTCTGGCCGGTGAACGTCTGGCCGGTGAAGCTCTGGCCGGTGAAGCTCTGGCCGGTGAAGCTCTGGCCGGCGAAGCTCTGGCTGGCGAGCGTGCGGCTGGGGGCTCTCTGGCGGGCGAAGGTCTTGCGGGCGACTGCCCGCCCTGTGAACGCCGAACCTGGCTGTGCAGTAGCATGGAGGCTTGAGCGCACATGTCAAAATGAAAGACTGAGCCCCCCAGAGCTGTAAGCTGTGCTAGCGGTTGCTCTGAAGGCCAAGAAACTGTTGTGTCTCACGACATGACAGATGAACATGTTGTTGACATGACCTGGGGTGAATCTCAACACTGCCAGCCAACCCGACTAAGGCAAAGCTCTGAAGAGACCTCGTGGCATAGGCATAGGAGCCGGCACGAAGAATTTATAACAGCAAGATAACACTGTACGATCATGTACGATCCCTACCCAATGCCGCCCCCCGAAACTCAGCGCCGCGCCTCGTGGCTATTCCGCCCACGTGGGCGGCTGTGACTGCGTGGGCTGTCGCTGCGACTGTGCGCTTCTCCACTGGGACTGCGGGCGTCGCAGCTGCGGCTGCGTTCGCGTGTCTCACCTGCTAAAGACTTGGGGCCGCAACGCTCAGAGCTTTACATCGGGAGTGTGGCTAGACTTCTCCACACAACTGCACTGAGCTCATGCATGACGGCGGTGGCAGGAGCAGGTGCCAGGATCACCCCGGGCCCCCTCCCCGTGCGCCTTTTGGGGTTTTGGGGATCTCGTCGTGTTTCTGCGTTGAATGCACTTGGGGTTGGGATTGAGAGAGGTTTGACGGATTTGGGTGTAGGGTTTGTTTGGGGAAAAGCCCTGAACCCTAAATCCTGGAACCCTCCAAATCCTGAACCCCAAGCGCTAACCCTAGCACCCGAAACTGTGAAACCCTAAATCCCAAAACTCTCTGAAACCATGAAACCCAAAATGCTAAAGCCCAGAATCCCTCAAACCCAGAACCCCAAGACTTTGAGGCGTAGAAGACTAGGCCTTCCCCGGTAGCCGGCACTTCTCCAGAGGGCACGGCAGCTTTCCGATGGGGCGAGCTGTCGGAATCTGCCACGCGGGACCAGGGTTTATTTAGGGCTTATAGGGGTCTCAGAATTTAATGTTCAGGGTTTCTGCCCGGGGATTTGGGGGTTGCGCGTTCAAGGTTTCGGGGTCTGGGGCAATTGGCTTAGGGTTTGAGGTTTATGCGGGCTTTTGGCGGCTCTGTGTTCAGGGTGCAGGGTGCAAGCTGGGATCTGGGCAAGACCTTGTTTCCCTTAGACAACAATGTCTGTCTGAACCGCCAGCCTTTAAAAGGATTGATTTCTTTATATCTACGGACACATATATATGTTTTTACTTATTTATATATATATATATATATTACACATTTGTGTAAGAAGTAGAATGCTGAGGATGAAATGGTTGATGGCGTTGGTTGTTCAAGCAGCGTTGGGAAAACAGGGCTTCAACAAAATGAGCTTTTCACCTGTGATGTTGGAGACAATACACTCAAATTCCCAACTGGCGAGATTTCCAAAAACAAGCCCATTCTGCCCGGCTGCTGCAGGTCCTGGGTAGCCTGCGACAGGCATTTTTGCTGAGAACCTGGGGAACGTGTCTCGGATGCAAGGAAGCTCGAGAAGCACCGTCTTCCCACACCTGCCCGAGGCACAATGCCAGGCACCCAAATCAGAGCTCACACACCTTCAGCCTGATGGGCTGGACAGGTAGAAAACATCGGCTGGCCCGCGCATGTAACAGGCCACATGCGCATCTAAGGTATATAGCACCCGCAGAATTCAGTCAAAAGGTTGATGTCCAAGATATGGCGATGACCTTGGCACAAAAGCTGGTGCGACACAAAACCTCAAAATGGGAAACTCTTGCTACTCCCGAAAGCTTTGCCACAGCGAATGCCTTGAACTGCCTTCATCAACTGGGACCAATGCAAAGCAGGTCCGAATGCCCAACCCATGCCGCCAAACGGACAAGAACGCAGACATGCTTGCCCGCAACAGTCGTGAACGATATGGGCTGCCCAGCAAAGTACATGGCACAGTTGGTCGTGTCGACCGAAAGCTGTTCTTCGCGTGATGTGCGCAAATGAGGTTCACTTGCCTTGTTCCAAGCTGTGTCCAGGATGCCCCCAAGCTGCCTCTCACATCCTGCGCTCGTGGCCCGATGTTGCTTTCACGAGCTGCGAGGCAGCAAGCCTTTGTTGGCTTGGAGTGCGCGTCAAGGGCTCGCATCGAGACCTGAAGGCTAAGCTTGGCGAAAGCTTGGTGACTGCAAGGCGGGCCGTCTTGCTGCACTTGATTCGGGTGTTCATGACATTGGCTGGCAGCACGTGACACACACTACAACACACTGCTTAGCTGTGAAGTAACTCTTTGGACCCCCCGAGCCGAATTCCCAAAAAAAGTGCCCCTTCCGAACCTAGCAACTCAGAACACTGCTGCCCCAAAAACCCTGAAGCCCTAACAGCTACCCTAAAAGCCCTGAAGCCCTAAACAGCAAACCCCCAAAACCCTGAAGCCCCTAAACAGCAAACCCTAACACCCTGAAGCACCTAACAGCAAACCCGAACACCCTGAAGCCCCTAAACAGCAAACCTGAAGCCCCTCAACCAAGCACCCTAAACCTGAATCGGCAAAAACCTGAATCGGCAAACCCTGGATCACATGGATCTACGCCTGCAGCCCGGTCGGCCGTGGCCGAACGCTCCCGAGGCGGGCTGCGCGCTCCTGCATCTGCCATGGTTTAGGGTTTAGGGTTTAGGGTTTAGGGTTTAGGGTTTAGGGTTTAGGGTTTAGGGTTTAGGGTTTAGGGTTTAGGGTTTAGGGTTTAGGGTTTAGGGTTTAGGGTTTAGGGTTTTGGGTTTAGGAGCGATTTCCCCCCAAGCCCCCAACACCCCAAGACGAAAAACCCCCAAAGCCCCCAAAATCTCAAAACCTCAAAACCCCCAAAGCCCCCAAAATCTCAAAACCTCAAAACCCCCAAAGCCCCCAAAATCTCAAAACCTCAAAACCCCCCAAGCCCCCAAAATCTCAAACTCAAAACCCCCCAAGCCTCTCAAAACCCCCCAAGCCCCACAAGCCCCCAACAGTCCCGCACGCCTGCAGTGTGCTCATCAGTGGTCCCGCGACCAACCGGCGACAGAGCTCGGGCTCGAGAACCTGAGTCTCGCCCTTGAGGGCTTTAGGGTTTAAGGGTTTTGAGGGGTTTTGGGTTTTAGGGTTTAGGGTTTAGGGTTTAGAGTTTAGGGTTTAGGGTTTAGGGTTTAGGGTTTAGGGTTTAGGGTTGAGGGTTGAGGGTTGAGGGTTGAGGGTTGAAGGTTGAAGGTTGAAGGTTGAAGGTTGAAGGTTGAAGATGGAAAGTGGGTCATGAGCAGCCAAGGCCACACCCAAAGCAAGAAAGCCTTTCACAAAAACGGTCATAAGCTTCTCTTCGTACTATCCCGTGGTTCAACAACGCAACATCTCCAGAGCAAAGCAACTTCGGTTGCCCAACCTACTCTAGTGCCGCCACAAACAGAAAGCCCAAGTTCCCCCTACTAGGTCGTCCTCCCAGCGCGCAACCCTGAATAACACCTTAGCTTCTGAAGGCGGCGCAAACAGACAAACCTAAGAGGTGTCTGGAAAAAGGAGCCCTTAACACCAAAGCACCCTCGCCTGTAGCTTCGCGATCCTCGCCGGTGCCCCGCCCAGGAGCTGTGGGTGACGGCACAGGCCGCGCACCTGCGGTGCTCTCAGCATTTGCGTTTAGAGTTTCAGCTAGGCTTTAAAGACTTAGGATGTGTTTGAGTCTAAAAGATGCTTTGCTCTGGGGAACACACGAAGTGTTGCTTGGAAATCACCGCATTGTGCTTTGGTGGCTTCGCTCTACGCGTAGGACAGTCGTTGAAGGCTGCTCTGCACGAAACGCATGTTACATGGTCCCTTAATATGGGTGGTCCCTTAGTTATGGGCCCCTTAAAGGGACCCCTTATCTTATATACCATGTTAAGGGTGAAACTACCCTTAGACACAAGCCAGCAACCCACAACCAGACTAGGATGACGGTCTTCATTGGCGCGGCAAACCTAGCGCGAGGCGCCCGGAAGTAAGCGTTGGTGCGGTGTTTCTCAACTCCTCGTAGTCGACCTCCAAAGTGCCTTGAACCCACCGTGAAACATCGGCCATCACTAACCCTAGGGTTTCGGGTTTAGGGTTTCGGGTTTAGGGTTTTTTTTTTTAACAACCCTTCACTCCTTTTCGGGCGAGCTTACAGCTAGGGTAGGTTTCGGGTTTAGGGTTTCGGGTTTAGGGTTTAGGGTTTAGGGTTTAGGGTTTAGGGTTTAGGGTTTAGGGTTTAGGGTTTAAACCCATAAACCCTAAACCCTAAACCGCAAAGGCCCTAAACCCTGAAACCCGAAATCGAAGACCCGGAACGAAGTGGGCCCTGGCCTTCGCTTGGGACCACGAGCCTATCCACCGTGCCCCGTGCTTGGGGTGCTGAAGCAAGAGAGTCGCCTGCGGAAACTGCTAGTCACAGCACCTTTTTGGATGCCGCACCTCTCATTGCAACCAACTGAACTCTAAACTTGCCCCTGCTAGCCATCTGAGTTTAGGGTTTAGGGTTTAGGGTTTAGGGTTTAGGGTTTAGGGTTTAGGGCTTAGGGCTTAGGGCTTAGGGTTTAGGGTTTAGGGTTTAGGGTTTAGGATTTAGGTCAGAGCAACTTCTATTGGATTGTACTGAACCGGGCAGGGTGCCCTGCAAGGTATCCTTGCGGATGGGGTTCCTTGACAAAAGATAGAAACGAAGCAGAACTTCGTGACCCTCTCCACCAGCCGTATATCAGCGGGA